GGACTTGTAGAGGATAGGAGAATACCCTGTCCAGGTGAGGTCTTGATGTATCGTAATACTCTCATGGCTGCTTCATGATGCTCTTGCCTTGGGTTTTGCATAAATTGTGTAAGTATGCTCACAGAATAACAGATATCTGGTCTTGTGATTGTCAAATATAAGAGACACCCCACCAATCTTCGATATTGAGCAGGATTCGAAAGAAGTGGCCTTGTGGTAGAATGTAATCGGTGATGCTGCTCCATAGGAAAAGGGCTTGGACGAGCTCCAATAGTCCCTGTTTCAGTGAGGATGTCAAGGGCATATTTTCTTTGACTTAAGACAATTCCTTTAGTGGTACGTGCCACCTCAATTCCAAGGAAGTATTTTAAAGGCATAAGATCTTTTATGGAGAACTTTGTGTGCAGATTCTTCTTCAGAGTGTTGATTCTTGTGGTATCATTGCTAGTGATAATGATGTCATCCACGTCTATTAAAACTGCAATAAAGCTGTGATTATGAGTAAAGGTAAAGAGTGAATAATCAACAAGTGATTGAACAAAACATGTAGCCTTTAGACAATTGGTGAACTTCTCAACCAATTGTGGGAGGCCTGCTTTAATCCATAGAGAGATTTCCATAATCGACACACTATATTACTATTCCGACAAGTAAATCCTTGTGGAATTTTCATGTAAACCTCCTTTTGCAAATCACCTTGCAAAAAAGCATTGTTCACATCGAGTTGGTGTAGTTCCCATCACCTAATGGAAGCAAGTGCCAGAAGTACTCTTACGGTCACCAACTTTGCAATAGGGGCAAATGTTTCATGGTAGTCCAAGCCTTCAATTTGTGTAAAGCCTTTGGCCACAGGTCTTGCCTTATAGTGTTCGATCGAACCATCTGGTTTGTACTTAATCTTATAGACCCATTTCGAATCAATAGCTCGTTTATCGGGAGGTAAACCCTCAAGTGTCCAAGTGCTATTCTCCTCAAGGGCAATGATCTCTTTCCTCAGTGCTTCTCTCCACTTTTCATTCTTAATGGCCTGCAAAAATGAACGAGGCTCATCATTGGAAGTGATGGCCGCAAGTAAGGCTATGTGATTGGGTGAGAAAGATTCATATGATAGGTGGTTAGAAATAGGATAGAGTATACCTGTTGTTTTCAAAGTTTCCTTTGCTCCCCTTGTCTTCCGAGAGGTGACCTTTGTTGTGGAGTCTTCATCAGCCATGTTTTGAGTCTCAATTGCAGCAAAGCCTTGCTATCACAAGCTGCAACAAAATCTTGCTGTTACCTAGTGCTCTGATACCATGATAATTTCTGTGGAGTGATAGAAGAATATGTGAAGATTCAATTGAATTGAGTAAAAAGGTTGTACAGTACACAATCTTTATATACAGACTAATGACTAATATTTAGCCTAAACTCAAGCAAATGGAAAAGGCAAGAATAATGAGAAAACGGTCTGATACAATCTATGCAATTATTGATAATATTCCTCAGTAATTATTCTTTTGATTGTTTCTTCCTTGATTACCGCCTCATAAGACCAGACCAC